AGAGAATTTTTAATATTTATTTATTTTTTAGCTCTCGGCAGACACAACATCTTTGTTGGTATGTGGTGCTGAGGATCGAACCCGGGCCGCACGCATGCAAGGCGAGCGCGCTACCGCTTGAGCCACATCCCCAGCCCGTTTTGCCTGTTTTTTAACTTTATGAATGAGAATACCATATATACTCTTCTGACTTTTTTTGGTCAGTATTATGTTTGCAAAATTCATTCATATTGTGGATCCAGGCACAGTGTAGCATGCCCATAATTCCAGCAACTCAGGAGGCTGAGCCAGGAGGATCACAAGTTCGAAGGCAGCACTAGCAACTTAGTGAGACTCTGTCTCAAAAAGGACTGAAGATGTAGTTAGTAGTATGGTTTCCCTAGGTTCAGTCCTCAGTGCTAAAGATAAAAAAAGAGATTCATTCAGGTTATGAATAGTTGTAAATTGTTAAATTTTATTCCTGCATAGTATTCCATTGTGTGAATGTAGCACAGTATATTCACTTTATTTTTTTTTTCTTTTTCTTTTTTTTTTTCTTCTTTTTTTTTCTAGTATATTCACTTTAGAGTTGATGAATATTTGTGCTGTGTCTACTTTGAGGCTATTATGAATAATCCTGATTTGAACATTCCCTAATATATTTTTGATGAAATATGTTCCAAAGAGTAGAATTACTAGTTTAGGAGTAATGTCTGTTGTTCAGTTTAAATAGAATAAAGAGATACTGATAAAGATTCCCAGAGTGGAGTACCTGTTTATGTTTCTACTACCTGTGACTGCAAATTCTTAGTTCTATGTCTTTGCATATRCTTGTTAGTATTTGTAGTTTTCATTTGGCACATGTAGTGATGGTATAGATATTTTAATGAAAATGGAGATGCTGCTTCTTCATAATAAATTGGTCATGTAAAAGTATAAAAATGTTGTGAAAATCAGACATTTAATGAGGTGAAATTGATGTTTAATAGCTTAAGTTTACATGAAAAAACACTCATTCATAAAGAAAATCTTAGCAGAAAAGAGTATGCCATGCTTTTAAGTTGAAAGAATGATGATTGACTAGTTAACCATGATCTTTAGAAGCTAGACTATTATTTTCAAAGAAGAAAATAAAATACTAACCATTAAACAATGCAGAAAGACAGCCCCCACCCTCCAAAAAAAATAATCAGTGCAGAACACTCATTATCTAGACACATGAAAATATGCATGTGACAACTATTAGAGAAGACAGTATTAATTTGTTTCTCATTGGACTTATCTCTTAGGATCATATTAGGCTTTTTAATTTTTTTGTACTGGGAATTGAACCCAGGCACTTTACCACTATGCTGCAACCCCCGACCCATTATTTATTTAGAGACGAGGTCTTCCTAAATTGCTAAGGCTGGCCTTAACTTGCAGTCTTCCTACCTCAGCCTCCCGAGCCTCTGAGGATTACAAGCATGCACCCCTATGCCCAGCCAAAAAGTAAATCTTGATATTTAGCATTGTCTTAATTGCCCACCTTCCCTTACGTCCCAACTCAACTTCAGTCATTATTCTTTTTTTTTTTTTGGTGGGGGGAGGTACCAGGTATTGAACTCAGGAGCACACAGCCACTGAGCCACATTCCCAGCTCTATTTTGTATTTTATTTAGAGACAGGATCTCACCGAGTTGCTTAGCACCTTGCCATTGCTAAGGCTGGCTTTGAACTCAAGATCCTTCTGTATTAGCCTCCAGAGCTGCTGGGATTACAGGTGTGTGCCACCACACCAGGCCCCAGTCATTATTCTTGTCTTTCCTGAGTTTATTAAAACTAAATTATAGCTGGGTGTGTCGATGTACCCCTGTAATCCCTGTGGCTCAGAAGGCTAAGATAGGCGAATTGGGAATTCAAAGCCAACCTCAGCAATGGCAAGATGCTTAGCAGCTCACTGAGACCCTGTCTCTAAATAAAATACAAAATAGGGCTGGGGATGTGGCCCAGTGGCTGAGTGCCCCTGAGTTCAATCCTCAGTACCAGAAAACAAAACAAAAGCAACCAACCAACAAATAAGCAACACTGTGAAAAAACAAAAACTTGGGCTCTGAAGGCGATCATTTTTTCTGTGATGCTGAGGATTGAATTCCAGACACTTGGTGGACTAAAGATATACTCTGGCAGAGTTACACACTCAGGCAATCTTAAATAAGTAATTCCAAAATGTTTTGAATATATTTATGCTAAGTGGTGCATACTCAAAAAATGACATTTTCTAAAGTGATAATAGGCATTTGGGTATGAATGATTTTTTAAAAGCTTCATTATTTCATGGTCATATCTCATTGCACTTCTTGAATGTTCTTAATTTAAATTTCCTTTGAATGTTCGGGTCATGGACAAAATTTTTCTCTTTTGCAGTGTAACACATATTTCATTTTACCTTCTATTGAATACTTAATGCAGATTTGAAACAAAATAGTTAAATCTGATCATAGTCCAGATTCCCTCCAAAGAGAGGTTGATACAGTATTACCTTTATTTGAATTTTTTTTGTAGACAACTGTATCTTCAAAATTAATTTTTATGAAATTATTATTGCTGTTGTTATTATCTTGGTGGTGTTGGGGATCACACTAAGCCACACCCTCTAGGCCTTTCCTATTAGTTTTCACTCTTCATTTAGTAAGRTTGCCAGATTTTTGCCTCGGATGTATTTGCCAGATAGCTACAGTGCCAGAGTTCTGTGATACTGAGTTGATACTTGAGTTTTGTTTTTGGTCTTGTTTCTGTCTGTATGATCTGGGCAAATCTYTGTCTCAATATTTCCATCTATAAGATGAAGGAAAGAATATAGATATAGGAAGATAGTAATGTTGTTCAATGAATGCTAACCTTGTGAAAAGTGATATAGTTAGTGCTTTTATTTGCAACCCTCTTATTTTTCTAGTTTGATAGATGAGGAAACTGAAGCACATAGAGGTTAAATAACTTGCTCAAGGTCACTCAGCTAGAAKTGGAAGTGCTAGAATTCCAACCCAAAGCAAACAGTGTGGATTCAGAGTCTTTTCTTAACCTCTGGAATATCCTTTGGAACCCTTTTTAATAAAAAAAAGGTTAATATAAAATTACTAACCTATGGATCAGTAATACTTTTTATACTAACCATTCAGTTAAACAGAGCAGTTGATTTCCCTAAAACTATAAACATATCTAAGAAATATCCTGAATTGATGGTGGTATCAGTATTTATAGAGTCTGGGAGTATATTTGACACAGAAATGTTGACTTCTCATGTTTGTGCTTTGGAGGTAAGTGACTGAAATTGTATTTCAGGAGGGAGCAGCAAACTTGTATTTTCCTTTTTGGTAAAGCTGCTATCCCTTGGGTCAGTGCATAGGCCAATAGAAATACAATGGGATCTACATAGTCATTTTAAGTTCTCACATCAAATAAGTGTAAAATACTTGAAATTAATTTTATTTAATTGAGTATATCAAAACATTTAACAAATAACTAATATGTTTTACCCATTTTTGTGTGTGTTTTGTATTAWGTCCTCGAAATCTGATGTGTATTTTGTTTTCATAGCATCCCTTAATTTGTATTAGCCACATTTCAAGTTCTTAATTAGTGTCRTCTGGCTAGTGGCTCCTATATTCAATAGCTCAGTCCCCAGCTAATATGTAAGAATAGTTTCAGTTGTGGCATAAGACTGGATCAATAGCATAGGATTTCAGGAGTCTAATAATTTCTGAGAAAAATTATATATTTTGAGGAAAAATATTTTACTCACACATTGTCCTACTTTTAATATAGAGTTGAATGGATGGTATCATTCCCTATTAGAAAAATATGGGGAATTTCCTTACATAGCTTTTTCATTTGGTTATTTAGCTCTAGCAACCTTTTTGATGCAGCAGTTTCTTTTATTTTTTTTCCTCTAGATATCAACAAGTTTCTTTGGATGGTTCGGATTGGAGGGAGCACAGACACAGGCAAACATATCAAGGAGAATGACTATTATACTCCAACTGGGGAATTCCGTGTGGACCGTGAGGGTTCTCCAGTGCTGCTCAACTGCCTTATGTACAAGATGTGTTACTACCGCTTTGGGCAGGTCTACACAGAAGCCAGTGAGTGATACACAGCATTAACAATAATCGCAGTAACAGAAATAGCTAGCAAACTCTGTTTTTTAGGCTTTGTTCTAAATGCTTTATATCTGTTAACTCATTTAATCCTCACAGTGATTCAGAAAGTAGACGCTAATATTGTTATTTCATTTTGAGTCAATTGAGGTGCCAGTAGGTTACTAAACTGGCCAACTTCACATGACTAAGAGGTAGGGTCCGGATTCAAACTCAGGCAGTATAGCGCCAGATTCTGTGCTTTCAGATATCTCTTGTTGTGTCTCAGTAAAGAATGTTGCTGAGGAAAGGAATATAGGGATAGACAGACAGAAGACTTCATTTCTTCAGATGGATACACTGAGAAGAATTTAATGAGGTTGTCTTTCCTTTAGTCTTGAATTTCATGGTTTTGATGTTGAAAGAATTTCTGAAGTACATGCAGGTCCTTGGTTTCTGATAGATTTTCTGATCCATGGAAGGATTAGTAGTGTGTTACAAAGGCTTCTGATATTTCTCAGAAAAAGGGGCTTGGAAGTCAGCCCCTATCTCTTAGAAAAAATAAGCTCCATGGATTCTGGCAATATCAACTTGAACAGGGTAACCTTGATTTGTTCTTAATACCTGATGCTCTTTTTTTGCAGACTCTAGTGTCTAATCAAACTGCAGCCTGAGGAATAACAATCTAAGTAGTAGAAGATATACTGTATTCTTTTTTGTCCCTTTCTAGAACGCCCACCAGGCTTTGACCGTGTCCGAAATGCTGAGATTGGTAATAAAGACTTTGAGCTTGATGTCCTGGAGGAAGCATATACCACAGAACATTGGCTGGTCAGGATATACAAGGTGAGCAGATGCTATACTGTTTTAGAAAGTGACCCTCATGTTTGCAGATAGGTTCTAGTGCTTAAATAATAGGCCACCATATTTCTTAAATGGGGGTATTTCTGATGACACCTGTATCTGAAAGATAGCTTGCAATTCATTCAGAATTTTACTTTTAAAATTCTGTTATCCTTAGAGTAGATCTCCCAGTGGCTGTCATTTTAGCAGTTGGTGCAGCAACATTTTTCTAGTTGCTATTTAGATCTGAATGTTTCAGTGCTCAGGCCTGAGGGGAGAAAAGAAAAAGAAAATTCGTGTGTTTGTTTCTGAACTACATTACTCGTCTCCTACAGAGGAATTGATGGTAAAAWGAGACATGTAATCACATGAGTGTGCTATAGCTCTTACATAAAAAAAGATTGAGCCAGGCGCAGTGTTGCACATATGTAACTCAGTGGCTCAGGAAGCTGAGGCAGGAGGATCACAAGTTCTAAGCCAGCCTCAGCAACATAGCGAGGCCAACTTAGCAAGACCCTGTCTCAAACTAAAAAGAAGTGGATAGGGATGTGGCTCAGTGCTTAAGTACTCCTGAGTTCAATCCCTGATACAAAAAAGAAAAAAGAAAAGATTGAGAGCCTTTGATAATGTGAAGGGAAAATTATTTACTATGTCTCATAGAGATACTCTGAAAGATTAAGCAGTGTTACCAGACCTTCTAACCCATGTTTATTTATTCACAGTGTCAAACCAGGCAGCAGAACCAAACATAATCCAACCTGCTCTGGGTGAACCCATTTCACTAGAAAAAACTCTTCAAAGTTAACCTGGTTATCAGTATTAATTTAATTGACTTTCTTTTTTTTTTGTGTGTGTGTGTATGTGTGTGTGCAGGTAAAGGACCTGGATAATCGAGGCCTGTCAAGGACGTAAATGTCACATCCAGCTATGATACGCTTTGCACTGAGCGCCTCATATTTAGAATGTTGAAGATTTTTTTTTTATATGCAGTTTATAAGAACAGAGCCGGATGGCATTAGAATCGTCTGGAAGTTTTGCCCTGGACAGTATGGGCTGGGCCAAAATGGAATGATTTTTATAATTCTGAGCAGGTTACCAAATGAAATGTCACGGATTTACTTTGGTCAATTAAAGGGGGGAATTTTTTTTAAAAAATGTGCCTTATTTGTTTTGACTTAATGGCTGATTTGAAGACAAAAATTYCTGCTGGGTTGCTCAAAGGACATATAGCAGACTTTACCAATGCTCTTAGTTCCCTGAACCAGGTAGGAGGAGCATTCTTTTTCTCTGATATCAGGAAAACTATTAAGGACTAGYTCTGATTCTACATTATATGAACAGTTTTGTCATACTGTCTGTATTGTAGCACTTAGTGTGAAGCCTTGCACATAGTAGGTGCTCAATAAATTTTTATCAAATGAATAAATGTTTATGGAACAAGAGAGTGCTATTTCTGGGCAGGAAAGACAGCTTTCTTGCTGTTATGTCTCTATTTGCAATGTCTCTCATCTTTAGAGGCGCTTTGACTTTATAAGGGATAGAAAGTGGCTAGCCAGACCTGATCTCACCAGTACTCTTTGGGACTAGTGAGGGTTTTTATTTTTTTAGAGCAGGAATAAATCAAGTGTGACTAAATCAGCAGTTTTAAAGACTCAAACAGTGAAATGTTATCAGTGGAGAGGGAGAAACTCTTTCAATGTTATGTGTAGAGCTTGATAATCAGTAGATGCTTGTGAATCAGCTTAAATATAATTATAAACATCTATTTGAAATTTAATTTTTCAGTACTTTCACCAAATTGTAACACTTCCCTGAAGGCTTTAGTTTCATTTCCTTTAGCCTATGCACTAAAACTCTTGTGGTTGTTTAGAGGTAAGTGTCTCTCCTTGTCTCAGTCTACTGTGTTTTTTTTTTTTTTTCTTTAGTGGTGCAGGGGATTGAACCCAGGGCCTTGTACATGCAAGGCAAGCACTCTGCCAACTGAACTATATCCCCAGCCCAGTCTATTGCTTTTACATACCACTTCAGTCAAGTTTAATTACCTGGTTTTGAAATCCTTGCTTAATAAACTACAATTTAGAAGGAGGACACATTGCCAGCCTGACTGCTAGAAGAGAAACATCTTAAAAATGTTTAGCTCCAAAGCASAATGGACCCATAGACGTTTAACATCAAGATAGCTTCCTGTACAGTTCAGTCAGACATTTTATTTATTTTTTTTAAACTACATAAGACATGTATCACTGAGGTATATAAGCCCCAAGTCTTTTAAAATATATGAGGAAACTGTCTAGTGTTACATGTTTAATAAAATAGGAGGAATTCATGGCTTTTAGATAAATCAAAATCATAAAATAGATATGCTTGGGTATACTTTGATATCTAGGGAACTTAACCTTCCAAGTCAGTTTACATTCCATGTGGTTGAGATTTAGATTTAAAATAAGATTTGACTTACTATATGTAAATATATTATTTAATTTACATACAGAATTATTTCCAAATGGAAGAGGTTATTCTGAGTTCATCAGTATGATAATACTAATAAAAGATTATTAATTAGTTGGTTCTGTAGTATAACTGGGATAACACTTTTGTCAGTATAATTGTGGCTCTTTGGGTTCTAATTTTGTTAGTCTCCAGACTCTATGGAACTATATCCCCAGTCCTTTTTATTTTGAGACAGGGGCTAAGTTGCTGTGATTGGCCTTGAACTTGGGATCTTTCTGCCTCAGCCTCCCAAGTAGCAGAGATTGCAGGTTTCTGTCACTGCACTCAKCATGAAGCTTTCTTTTTTAAAARTTGACTTTTAATTTTTATTGTTATAATTTACTTAATATAAAAAGTTCTTAAAAAGCAACAAGACAGTGTTTTCTACTCCCCAAGACATCAACTTTCAACTTTGAAGAGTCTCACTTCTGTATCATTAAATGACTTGCTTTAGTTTGCTATTTTAGTGTTTCTTTGTCCATTTTCTGGTCTGTAGACACATTGTTACTCTTTCCTTTTATAGTTTTATTGTAATTATTACATCCTGTTCTAATTCTATTATAATTATTTATTCAATTCTATTATAGTTATAATTATAGTTATAATTTAATCAATAATTCTTACCTGGATATTCTCAATTAAGCCATGTATACTATGTTAACTATTTTTCTAGCATAATTTTTTTTTAATTGGAGATTTTTCTTCATTGGAGATTTCTTTTTTTTTTTTACTTGTCACTAGTTTTGTTTCCCAGTTTGCCTTGATGTGTGTCACTTTCTTAATATGTTTGAACATATTAGGTATTCATTCTTGGGAATGTCTTCTATTTTGGTATGTTGCAGTTTGAATCRGTTTACTCTCCAGGGTTACTAGGTTGTATCATTTTTTTAAAAAAATATTTATATTTTTGGTTGTAGTTGGTCACAATACCTTTATTTTATTTATTTATTTTATTTTATGTGGTGCTGAGGATCGAACCCAGGGCCTTGCTAGGCAAGCACTCTACCAATAAGCCACAATCCCAGCTCCTAGGTTGTATCATTTCACAGGTGTTTTTTTTTTTGTGTTAATCCTTTAATTTTTTTTTTTTTTTGGTAATACTGGGACTGGTTGCAGAGCCTTGTGCATACTAGGCAAGTGCCCTACTACTGAGCTACATCCCAAGCCCTATTTTACTTCTTTCTTGATTTTTATCACCTCTAAGTATCTTAGAAAGGGTATGAGAGAGAATTTTGGGAGATTTTGTTTTTTTCACACTGAACTTGTAAATTCACTAAGTATATTTTGGAAATAATTTTTCCTTGGGATCATGAAGGGATTGACTCATTGTTTTCTGTCTTCCAAATGTTGAGAAATGCAATACTATTCTAATTATTATTMCCTTTTTCTTACTATAAATAGGAGTTGTTTGGATGTTGGACTTCCTGAATTAGTCTCCTAATGTTCTCGTGTTTACTTTTCTATTTTTCATCTTCTTCCATCTGGGAAGAGTTCCTCAAGTGTATTTTAAAAACTATTTTAAAATAGTTTTTTTGTTTCAAAATTCCTCCTTTGACATCTTTTCAACTGAAGACTCAATTCTTGGTTGTTTGCTCTTTTTAGAGAGTGGGACATAAAAAGCTGATTGAAAAGGCTTTTGGATGGCAGGTGGTGCTTATTTATGTGTTTTTCAATCTGCTGTGATCTGGCTGGGCTATTACACAGAAAAGTCTAGTACTGGTAGCTAGGTATTTTTCTCTTACTTAGATCAGATTTCCTCAAGGCATATAATCTCTTACTCAAGGACAAGCCAGGCTATCAGTTTTCTGGGAGTAGGGAAAAAAAGCCTATAGTCTCAATTTTCAGTGTTTACAATTAAAATTAATTCCTCTGTGTTTAGTTAAGGTACCTAAAAGGTTTTAACTGTCCCTATTTAATTCCAGTTCAAATACCACATAATTACTAAAAGTCTTGACCCAACTTTGGAGAGAAGCAGTTCTTTTAGGGAGAAGTCTATTTGCTTCTTATAAAGTCTTTCAACCTACCCTCTTTTTGCCCCACTTTCACCTCCACATTCAGAGTTGCCTGGTGTCACCAATTCAAGTTGAGGCTTTTAGGATTTCTGAGATGTAAATCGTTACTTTATTGCATYCTTATTGCCAGTTTTGGGTTTCATCTTTATTTCATTTAAGTTAGTTACCTTCCATGTCAAGGCTTTCCAAAATTGTTTTATACTCATTCTTAGGATATTGTCTTCTAAAAATTTATCTTTTACTATTTTGTTAGTCATTTCCAAAGGGCACAGAGGCAATTCTTTCTCACATATGCTGTATTTAACTGATATTGTGTTTTTTCAGGAAAAATTTAAGTTCTACCCAGGCACACTGGAACTGGTACAGATCCTTCTCTTATCTTTGTTTTCAGCACACTGAGAGGAAATCAGGGAGGATGGAGTAAACTAGAAAACATTACATGAAATCTAAATTGATATCATGGTTCAAAACTTCACAGCCAAGCATTTGCAGTTTGTTCCCGACTTTGCTTTTTTAAAACAGATGTATGCATTCTTTTATGTGTAACATATTTTACTCCATTACTAGTATTGCAAATTATCTTGAATGTATTTGGCTTGGTTTTGAAGAAAGGGGGAATTTAATGTACTTGCCTGTGCCTTCAATTCTCAGTCTACTGCAGGGGAATACCCATTTCAGTTTTTCCTGGCTTATTTTGTTCTCAAATCCCTTTCTTTGGAATTTTCTTCTCTTAAAATTGGTTACTTTAAAAATTTTGCATTGTAAAATTTATACTGGCTTTTACTTGCCTGTTTTTTACACATTAAGAACAAGAAAGTTGCTAGAACTAAGCTAGGCAGATGGTCTCATCCTTCAAAGTTAAGGCTGAAATAAAGTATTGTTTTGAAGTCTATTCACCCATAAGGCAAAACTGGTTATCCTGATAGTACCTCAGATTCTCCCCAGATTACTTTATTCCAGTACTCTTCCACCTCCCTTCATGTGCGGCCACTTTTGATGGCTCGCCCCTCCAACACAAAACCCCTCTTCACCACAGCTGTTGATAGTAGGCACTCGGTCCTTATAGTATAGGTCCCGCATTCCAAAGTTGAGAAATCTGGAGCCTCCTTGGTCTTTTCGGGCTGCCAGGCCAGGTGCTCAGARGTCACAGGCTGGTGGGTTTCCGTAGACAATTTATGGCCTTTTCAGGCCCAGAGCGGCCGGGAACAAAGCGGGGACCACCGCCAGGAGGCGCAGCCCACGGTGGGCGCGCTGCGGAGATAGAGGCGGAGGCCCTGCCCCAGAGCGCCCGAAGCCGCGCAGCGGAGCCCCACACACCGAATGTCATTTCACACGGACGAAGAGATCAATTCGCTGGTCGGTTCGTCAATCTTTTCAGCCAGGATCTGCTCCACACCTCAAAGGAACCCAGGCTAGGCCAGCTCGGAACTGGCAAGGACTACAACGCGCAGGTGTTTTGGAGCCGCCAATCTTCAGAGGGACGCGGGAACGCGCGTCGTCCTGCTTTACGGCAAGGGTGCGCGCGTTTGCGGCAACGTGACGCAAGCAAATTTTGGCGGGAAAAGCGCTGCATTTGGATTCCTGTGGTGGCGGGCAAAGGACAGCTTGGTGAGGAGGGGCGGCCGGTAGGGCRAAAAAGGGGTCTGGAGAAGGAGTTAGGAGTCTAGATTAGTAAGGAGGAGCACGGTGAGATAATGGTACTATTGAGCGGAGGGGATGGGAGGTCCTCCAGCGGAGGGGCGGTTTTGGAGAGTGGAGGAGTGTGGTACCACGGGGTCCTCATTGTAAAGGGTGTGGGGGGAAGGGAAGGCTACCTTTCTGCTAGCTGGGGACCTCAGAATTTTGGGCGCTGTGCTGGGTCCCAGCTCTTCCTTCCGCTTCTATGGGCAGTTTGGCCCCGCCCCGGGCTCCTCCCGGCCTTTGGGACGGGTGGGGTGGGGTGGGGGTGGGAATTGGAACTGTGCAAGTGGGGAGGAGGGGCTGCAGTAGCTGCAGTTATTCCAACCCCTCTTCTAGCCCACATCCCCGTACTCTCTTCCCCAGACTCCCACCACTTCTACCCGCTTCCCCAGTCATTCACCCGAAAGCATCCGTCTTCCCACTTCTCACCGCAACTTTTAAATTTCCCGCGAGGCCTGAGGAGGGCAGAGTTTCAGCCCTCGGTGTGCAAGGGAATCGGGATTGCGATTTCGGCAACCAAATGCCTAAACTTAGAATACTTGTTTGGGGTTTAAAGACTTGGATAAATGTGAATGAGATGTAAGGGGAAACCAAGCTGTTGTGAGGGATCATGGCAGGAAGCAGAGCGCGGTGGCTTTACAGGTGATCTGAGCTTATGCTCGTTCCTTATTTTTCGGGTTCCTGCCTTTTTTACAGCCGTGGTGCTCTGTGGAGTCATGGCAGTGCCCTTTGTGGAAGACTGGGACTTGGTGCAAACCCTAGGCGAAGGTGCCTACGGAGAGTGAGTTTGAATCCGAATATTATCTTGCTTTCACGCTTGCTTTAGTTTTCTATTGTTTTGTCTTAGTATGTATTTGTTGTTTTGGGATTGTTTTTTCCAATACGTGGCGCTTTAGAGATCAGATCTTTGCAAACCAAGGCTTTTAGCAAGTGAAATTGCACAATTTTTGTAAGGATTAATATTTCTGATTATTTTTTCATTTTTTCTTTTTCTTTATCAAGAGCTGTAAAAGATCTGTTGAGATTATTGTTTCCTCAAACAACCACATAGTCTTGGGCTTTAAGAATAGTGGCTAAATGAGCAAATGAGCAGACTTTGGGGATGGCCTGCCTGGTTTCAGATCTTAAATCTATCGCATACTGGGCTTGTTTTGTGGACTTAGATGAGCATCCCAATGTTGTATGTCTCATTTATATAAGATGTTTTCCTCATTTATATAAGATGGGAATAACAGTACCTACTCCAAAGGTGCTTAGTACTTTTATCACAGTCATATGTAGCATGAGATTAATAAATCTTAGGTAATGCTATTAAAATTATGTGAATAGAACTAGTATTGCTATAATCCCAATTTAGTTTACTTTATTAAGCATTTTTTAAATGACTTGCATGTACAGCATAATGACTTCTTTGGAGTAATAGCCATAGTAATTCACCTTTCAGAAAGGACCAGTATCTGTTGAAAATATGGCAGAAACCATTTCCTTGGTTTCCTTGGTGGAGAAAGTAGTAAAGATAAAACAATTTTGGATTTGTCATGTTTAATCTTTTGAAATTGTCAAAGAGAATTCAAATGTCTACAATGTTATAACTCTTGTTTTCCTTTTTTTAGAGTTCAACTTGCTGTGAATAGAATAACAGAAGAGGCAGTTGCAGTGAAGATTGTAGATATGAAGCGTGCTATAGATTGTCCAGAAAACATTAAGAAAGAGATCTGTATCAATAAAATGTTAAATCATGAAAATGTAGTGAAATTCTACGGTCACAGGAGAGAAGGAAATATCCAGTATCTATTTCTGGAGTACTGTAGTGGGGGAGAGCTTTTTGATAGAATAGGTATGGAAACAATTTAAGATACTTATTCTACTAAATAAGTTTCTAAGTTTGTTTTTTCATATTGAATAGCTAGTCACTCATTTTCCCCTTAAGTTTTTCCAATATTGAAATTGAAGTAAAAATTCCTTTTTTTTTTTTTTGGCTAATTTTACTAATATATGAAAACATATAGTATCAATGAAAGAAAATTGTCCTTAAGTTATAAGTAATTTTTTCAGGATTGCTGTATTATGTAATTTAAAATGATAAACTGTAGTTTGATGATGAAGTATAAATGCATAATAAGCTGAGCTCAGTGGCACATGCCTGTAATCCCAGTTATTCAGGAAGCAGAGGCAGGAAGATGGCAAGTTCAAGGCCAGATTATGCAACCTTGCAAAACCCTGTTTAAAAGAATAAAACCCAATAYCACAAAATAAATAAATAAAACAATAAAAAGGACTGYAGATCTAGCTCATTGATAGAGTGCCCCTGGGTTCAGTCTTCAGTACCACAAAAACAAAACAACAAAAACCATTGTATTGTTTGCCTATACAGTTTTTTTCTTTGTAGATATTCTGTTTACATGATTATTGCATACATTTACAGGTCCAAAATAATATCATATTGTTATTTTTCCCCCTTATTTGTTGAAGTGAAATGATGGCTTTATATACATATCAAGTAAATTGTTTGCTACTTAAGTGTTCTGTGCAAACTCAAATGATTGATGTTGCAAAATGTTGAGAAGTACATAAAATATATGCTGTGGGTCTAAGTTTATTATTTGAAGCTATTTTATTAGTAGTTAAAAACTGCTTATTTAAATCTCTAATGGGAATTTCAGGAGAGAACTGAGGGCAAAAGAAATCATGAGTTAGTGAGAAATAAAAATATAAAAGGTAAAAGATAACTGATAATAGAAGCTCTCTTAATAAGACTGTTTCCTGAAGGAACTTTGTAAACATTCAGTGAAAGGGATTTTATAAAGTTTAAATCTGTTAAAAAATTTAGTGAAATAGGTTTAGATTGTTTTAGGCTTTCACATTGACAATTGTATTTCAGAAATGGGAAAAATACTAACAACATTTAGAAACAATAGGGCAGAATTTAAAAGATACCAAGTAAATATTAATGTAAGAGTAAAATAGGAGCTTTCATAGCATGTATTATGTTCCTGATTTGGATGATAGCTTTATTTCTTTGTAATGTTCCCATGATAGTAGTTTGTTTTTGCTCTTTAACAGATTGGAAAATGTTGGTTATTAAGTACTGTATTGTTAAATGTACTTAATCTTTCATTAGTATAAGATTGCTAAATTATAATCACAAATGTCTAAAATCAGATTAAGAAACTATATGTTCAATGCCTGGTTGTATTTATCTAATAAACTAACTTTTGTAATTAATTCTTACAGAACCAGACATAGGTATGCCTGAACAAGATGCTCAGAGATTTTTTCATCAACTCATGGCAGGGGTGGTAAGTATAATTATATCTTTTCCTTTTATTTAAAATTAGTACAAATAGTAAGTTACTAAATTCTGGTGTGTTTCTCTATTTTCCCGTAGGTTTATCTTCATGGCATTGGAATAACTCACAGGGACATTAAACCAGAAAATCTCCTTTTGGACGAAAGGGGTAAGTTTAATATTTTGTTACTAATTTTAAGACAGCCATTCAAGTCAGGACGAAAATCTGAGAAGCCAAGGAAATTTGGGAGACTTGGTATATTTGGAATTCAAGTTTTTCATGATATAGTTGTGGATGAGAAGTCTTCCCTAGATCCAGGGGAGTTTGCTAAAGATGAATAAAAATAAGAATGCTTGAAAACAACTTTTAAAATGAATTAATAAAGGTAAGCTTCTATTGTAATACCTGAGACTTTAGCCATGAACTGTTCACCCTTTTTATCTATGACTTGCATAATATGCAAGAATTTTAGTTTTTTTTTTTTTTTTTTTTAATGGATGTCATAAAACTGAGGGGATGGATAGTGAAAATGTTATTTTACAGAGTCAGGACCAAAAAGATGAGGCAGTGATTTATGTCTGTTATGTTTAAGACTGTATTCCTAACATTAGAGTAGTTCCTTGCAAATAGTAGATTTTTAAAAATAACCATTGAATAGGGCTGGGGATGTGGCTCAAGTGGTAGCGCGCTTGCCTGGCATGTGTGCGGCCCGGGTTTGATCCTCAGCACCACATACAAACAAAGATGTTGTGTCCACTGAAAACTAAAAAATAAATATTAAAAAAAAATTWAAAAAAATAACCATTAAATAAATTAATCTAGCAGACTAGAGGGTGGGCTGAATCTTAACAAGTTATTTTTTAATAGGAAAAGATCTGAAGTCTACTATTTGTATTGAAAAAAATTAACCAAGCATAATTAAATAGCTTGTTCTTGGCATTTAACAGTTTTTAAAAGACATTTACCGGGCATTAAACTTGGTATTAGTCACCTGTGTGATTTGTTCACCATATGTAAGAAAACTAAGGTGATACAGTGCCCGGAATGAGGAAAGTAGTGGTCCAGTATTACTCCTGTGAGACTTCTCTGGAAATAGTGTTTCCCGGGGCCACATTGTAAGAGATGTATAGACCACTGATGTACTTTTATAGGAAAGTGAACAAATGAAGAGCTGTGAACTATGCAAAATAAGAAATTATTGCGGGAACTCAGGGAAACTTGCTAATTGTTAAATATGGTTCTTCAGAACCTGTGGGTGAAAACTTTTTAGAAGTTATTTGAATTAGCACAGGGATTATGTTCAACAATGGATCTGTGTAAAAAAAGCGTGGGTTGCTTTGGCATGTAGTGAGTTTATAACATTGAACAGTGGAGTATTAATTATCAAGGATATTATAAAGGGAATTTAAACATTGCTTGTCTAACACTGTGCTTAAGTTATTTAGCTTTCTACAAGTCATTTCACAAGTCACATAGCAGTATTTTAGATATTCAGAAAATTTAGTGTATGATAAAAGGAAACTTTGGATGATTTGTTGATGAATCCTGAGAGGTGAGCACACAGCACAATCTGAGGATTCTCATGCTTCTGTTTTCATGCTGTTCCCATTACTTGCTGAATGGTAATAGCCTTGATGATGTTAAATTCCATTCCTCCCCTTCCTCATACAAAGCAAGTCCTTTTTGAATTAAATGCAGGTTTCAAGATACACAAAACACCCTGGAAAAGGATTACGTGTCTCTAAATATGAAAGGCAATATAGGATAGTGTTAAGAGCTTGAACTTTGGAGTCATTTGAACCTAGGTTTAATCTAGGCCACCTCATTCTAGACATGTGGCCTTAGGTAAGTTGCTTAACTTCTCTCTGCCTCACTTTTCTTATTTATAAAATGGGGATAATAGGAGAATCTATCTGAGTTATGAGGATAAAGGATACAAACATCATGTGTTTTTGTAGAAGTATGTACCTGGAATGTATAAAACAGGTATTTATACCTATGTTATACATATACACATACATTTTAAAAATGCATAAATGTGGGGGTTGTGGCTCAGTGGTGGAGTGCTTGCCTTGCATGTGTGAGACACTGGGTTCAATCCTTAGCACTACATAAAATAAATAAATAAAATAAAGRTACTGTGTCCGTCTACAACTAAAAAGAAGTGTATTACAAAAAATGCATACGTGTGTGTGTTTTTGTCATAAATAGTAGGTACCTATTATATAGTTGATGCTGAAAAAAATGGTAGCTATTATTACTATGTAAAATTAAGTTACATTAAAGCATAGGTTATGTGCTTTTTTCCTATGTGCATGTGGGTTTCATTTTTTTTTACCCTTTTAAGTTGTGTTTATGTAGTATAAAAAGTAATTTTATTTAAAACTTAATTCAGGTGCCCCCAAATTTTCATAATATAAATTACATATTATAATAAAGTGTAATGAACACCTATCTGCCTACCTGGCTTAAAAATAAATTAGTACTTATAAGGATGCTCACAGGTCTGTTGTTTAATAGACCTGTGAGTTGTTTGCAATTTTTCTATCAGTAATAAGAAAGTTTGAAATGGATAATTTGTAGCTGCAAACAATGACATAGCTGGATTTCAAGAATATAAGGCCATAGAGCAAAAAAATAAACTAAAAGAATTGATACGCTCTTTTTATATGAAATTAAAAAATATATAAAACCAATTATATTGTTGAAGTATGCAAACAGGGCAAAACATAGAAACAAAAGCAAGGGCACAATAAAATTCAGAATGGTGGGTGTCAGAAGGTAGGAGAGGGAATGGGTGTGTCCTTTTTCTTGGGTGTTAGGTGAGTGGTATTGTTCTTGTATAATATGTATTTTGTTTCTGTTCAGTATATAACTAATAATCTTTTAAAACAGAAAYACAATGTTACCAGTATTTGAAGTCTTTCTGTATTCACTCACAAATATACTCTTCCTTTATTTTTGTCAGAACTATACTTGTAAATTTTGAATATATGACTTGTATTTCTCTAACTGAGTATTAGATTGCAAACAAAATAAAACAACAAAATTCAAGATAATCTATTAGTATTTTATGGTAATCTGTTAGTATTTTAATTGATTACCACTTGGAACTCAGTCTCAATGATTTGTCCAAATTGTGCCATAGATAGCTATTAAAAAAATATAGCTGGGCATAGTGTCATGTCACTTGTAATCCTAGCGGCTCTGAAGACTGAGGCAGGAGAATCTTGAGTTCAAAGCCAGCTTCAGCAACAGCAAGATGCTAAGCAACTCAGTGAGACCCTGTCTCTAAATAAAATACAAAATAGGGCTGGGAATGTGGCTCAGTGTTCCAGTGTCCCTGGGTTCAATCTCAGGTATCCCCCACCCCCTCCAAAGAAAATCACAGTATTTACCTCCTGGAGTCAAATACAAGTAAGTATTAATGGCTTACATTAAATTGGGTATATGTGCTTGATTTTTTTTTTTTTTTTTAAAGAGAGAGTGAGAGAGGAGAGAGAGAGAGAGAGAGAGAGAGAGAATTTTTTTTAATATTTATTTTTTAGTTCTCAGCGGACACATCTTTGTTGGTATGTGGTGCTGAGGATCGAACCCGGGCCGCACGCATGCCAGGCAAGCGCGCTACCACTTGAGCCACATCCCCAGCCCSTATGTGCTTGATTTTTAAAGAATCAAAGAATAGAGAAATGATGACTGTTATATAACTGTGCATAGGCTTAGTACAAAAATTGGATCATGTTATAATTTTTGCTATAACACTAGCCTATTCCCCACTTATATCCTGTTCCATATTAGTACACCTTGTTTTTCTTTTTTTTCTTAATAACTACTTATTTTATACATGTTTTATAAGCTTTTACCATTTATGGTGTGCATTTAAGTTATTTACAAATAACGTTGCTACGAATATCCTTGTTTGTGATGTTATGAGACTATTTCTGTGGATATGTTCCTAGAAGTGGATATTACTAGCTGAAAGAGAAATTTTGTTTTGAATCTTTGGCTGGATTGCCCTCTGAAAGACTTATAACCATTGACAACCTCTAATAACAGAGGGCCTTCCAAAGCTCCTAAGACTAGGATAGAACCCTTTTCTGTAAGATCCTGTCATGTTCTATATTTTTATAACTTTCTTGGCCATTACCTATTGTTAGTCTACCTCATTGATTTGTTCACTACCTGGGTTGGGTCGCACAGTGTCTGTTATGTGGATACAGTAGACATTCACTAAGTGTAAAAGTCCTACCTGCAGTTTTTATGTGCTGGAGATGGGAAGATTAGCGTGGAAGTTTTTTTTTTTTTTGTACAGTTCTTCCTCTTTTTCTCAACATAGCTACTTCAACAAGAAGTTCTCATGGATTCTGGATCTTTATAGTTTGTTGTGTCTTTATTATTATTCTTGCCTGTTGATTTTGTTTGCTGCTGAGAGTGTGCCTCCTATTTTACTATGTCTCATTCTTGCCTTCTATACCACTCATTGAAGGGCTTTTCTCTGCTTTCAGTCCAAGTTTGGAGTGTTCTTTACCAGAAGAATAGCCCCTTTTAACTCCAGTATCTTTCTTTAACCTGGTCCAAACTGTTTGGTGTGTTGGTGACAGTTTTCTTAAGTTAATATCAAAGATGAGGGCCTTTTCCAAGTTTAGCATAGATGATTATGTCTTTAATTTTTCTTAAAAAAATTTTGTTGTTGTTGTTTATTTTGGTCATGTTAAGGTAGAGAAATTCTACAAATCGGGTAATGTATTCAGTAAAACTTAATTCTAATATATCTATTTGCAAATTGTTTTTATCCAGTGCCATTCTCTTTTTTTTTTTTCTTTTGGTTTAGATAACCTCAAAATCTCTGACTTTGGCTTGGCAACAGTGTTTCGGCATAATAACCGTGAACGTTTATTGAACAAGATGTGTGGTACTTTACCTTATGTTGCTCCAGAACTTCTGAAGAGAAAAGAATTTCATGCAGAACCAGTTGATGTTTGGTCCTGTGGAATAGTGCTTACTGCAATGTTGGCTGGAGGTAATAGTTATTTAGTCATGATAAAACTTTTGGTTTATGACTTTGTGGGTTGGTGCAATGCCTGTAATCCCTCTGGAAGGCTAAGGCAGGAAGATTGCAAGTTTGAGGTCAGTCTCATCAACTTAGTGAAATTGTGTCTCAAAATTAACAAACAAATGATCTGTGGATGTGACTCAATGGTTAAGCATCCCTGGGTTCAATCCCTGTTATCAAAATGAACAAACAAAAAACTTCTGGCTTATGGAAAGTCAGATTTGCTATACCAAAATAAATGAAATAAATCAACGGAGTTTGTGTTTATGTAATAGTATTTTAATATTGTCTTAATCAGTTTGGGTTGCTATAACAAAGTACCGTAGACTGGGTGGCTTATAAATAACAAAGATTTATTTCTCACAAAGCCTGGAATGAAGGTGCCAGCATATTCTGGTAAGGATCCTCTTCTTGGCTTTCAAGTAACCAGCTGATTATTATTACTTTCAAGTAACCAGTTCATATGATGCAGAGCAGAGAGAACAGAAGCTCTCTGTGTTTTCATAACAACAATGATCCCATGAGGATCATAAGGGATCCTACCCTCATGAACCCAATCCCTGCCCAAAAAGAGCTGACCTCTAAGTACCATCACATTGTGGGTTAGAATTTCAACATGAATTTTGAGGTGGAAACAAATATTTAATCACTGCAAGTAGTAACTTATTCATAACTAACTTGTAATCCCCAAAGTTTTTAAAAATGTGGTATGTGTATCTATTAAATGAAAAGTCAAAATAGCTATCTCTTTACTAGGGATTAAACCCAGAACTTCACACATGCTAGGCAATCACTACCACTGAAGAACATTCCCAGACCTTTTTTAATATTTTATCTTGAGACAGGGTCTCTTTAAATTACCAGTCTGGCCTTGAATTTGTGATGCTGCTTCAGCCTTCTTAGTAGCTGGGATTATAGGTTTATGCCACTGTGTCATGCTTCATGTAAGTACTTTTGAAAGAGTAGGATAAGAAGTGGCTCGTCTTTTCTTTAAAGTGCCTGTGAAGCTTCTATAAAACTTCTTTTCCCATTTTGTAAGACATTGAGTTAATCTGAAGGAAACTTTGTATGGATTTGTAATGATTATTTTTCCTTGAAATTTKTACAGTATAATTTTGTTAATATGAGGGAATTGTAACTTGTTTTATTTTAGAATTGCCATGGGACCAGCCCAGTGACAGTTGCCAGGAATATTCTGATTGGAAAGAAAAAAAGACATACCTCAACCCTTGGAAAAAAATTGATTCTGCTCCTCTAGGTAACTGGGTTATCTTGATTGATACAGATTTCTTAGATTTAAGTCTTGTGCTATTTGAATTTTTCTTAACATTTTTTTTTTATAACTTTTTTTTTTTTTTTTTTTTTGTGCTGGGTATTGAACCTAGGGCCTTGTGTATGTGAAGCAGGCACTCTACCAACTGAACTATATCCCTCAGCCCCTCTGTTATAACATTTTAATAATTAAATAAATAACCCATGATCCTCGTAAGTTAGGAAATATAAATAAAAAATGAAAAAAGCCTATAATTCCTTCACTTAGATATAGCATTTTAAAGATATTCTGTGGGCTTCTGTGCTTTACTGTAAATACTTTTAATGTTTATTACATAAGTTTTTATATATATATATTATATATATATATTATATATACTTATATATATTTATATATATATATATAAAATCAAAAGTTAGATCATACTACAAATAATATTTCATGACTTGTTCTTTGGTTTTAATATTCTTTGAAAATTTTTCCTTGCCTGTAATTGTAGATCTGTGTCATTGTTTTTAAAGGCTATGATGATATTCTGCTACATGGATGTGCTTTACTCATTCATTAGAAATTTATTTTGTAAATTTTTACTGTTTTAAAACAGATCTGAGCTGGGCGTGGTGGCTCATGCCTATAATCCCAATGGGTTGAGAGCCAAGGCAGGAGGATTGTGAGTTCAAAGCCAGTCTTAGCAAAAGTGAGGTGCTAAGCAACTCAGTGAGACCCGGTCTCTAAATAAAATAAAAAATAGGGCTGGGGATGTGGCTCAGTGGTCAAATGCCCTGAGTTCAATCCCTGGTACCAAAAAACAAACACACACACACACATATGATAAGCATCCATGTAACTTAATCTTCACACATATCCTTAAATTGTTTATATAAAATAAACCTCCATAAACAAAAATTGCAGGGTCAAGGATATATGTAGATTTGTAAGTATTGAATCTTATTTTTCCAAATTGCTTTTCAGAAAGTTGATACTATTACAACAGAGTTTTATTTTTATTTTAAATTTAATATTAATGAAGTTGGAACCCTTTTGTCAATTTTGCTCAGTGTTAGCAAGGAGATTTTCTTACCCTTGAAGGACTTTTCCCAGGGGTGCTCTACCACTGAGCTATATCCCCAACCCTTTTTATTTTCTATTTTGAAACAGGGTCTTTCTGAATTGTCCAGGCTGGCCTCAAACCTGTCATCCTCCTGCCTCAGGCTTCTTAGTCAAGGGTTACAGACATGTATCATCACATCCAGCTTTGACCTTTGCATTTGTTACAAATATTTTCTACAATTTATCACTTATTTCTATTTCATTTGATATTTTGACATGTAGAAAATTTTTTATTGTCAAATCTATAATCTAGTCATTTGTGATATCTCACTACATTGTCACATTTGGAAAGGTTTTTTTTCTATGTCTACTGTAGTTTTTTAAAAAGTCCCCTATGTTTTCATGGTTTCATTTTTACATTTAAATCTTTGGTCCATTAGAAAATAATTTTAATGTTAGGAAATGTATAACTTATTTGTCAAAATAATTAAGATACCTTAGGATAATGGTTAATAATGATATTACTCTCTTAAAAAAGTTGTTCATAAGTAAACACATAAAACTGTGCAAATGAGGAAGTAACATGAGAACATGATATGCTGAGTGATGAAATTTGGTGTTAAAAATGGATAGAAGATTTCTTTGTATCTTTTTGTTAATGCCACATGGGGAAAAACATTTCTTTCAGACTCTTATTCTGCTTATTTGCAAATAATTGAGAATTAGATCTGGGAAGATTTTTCTAAAGTGTAGACAACAACAAAGAAAAACTATATGACCTTAAATCAGTAATGAGTAACTTTATTCTTTCCCTTCCCCAGAAATAATATTTAGACATAAGAAGGCTAAAAGAGAATGTGTTCTTTAATCCTAAGTTGTAGGCTTTTCTAATATGTATGACTTTTTGTAAATATTGCTTTAATATTTTGCTTTCAGCTCTGCTGCATAAAATTCTAGTTGAGAATCCATCAGTAAGGATTACCATCCCAGACATCAAAAAAGACAGATGGTACAACAAGCCACTCAAGAAAGGTATTAGTTTTAATATATAAACATTTTCTCTGGAAAGCATGAAAATTCACTATCATAAGTGAACAATACAAGATAGCTAGGGTCTCTTTCCTCATGGAGATTATTATGTCTAATAGGGAGAACAAGTATAAAAAGTAGTTTTGTTTATTAATAACTACAAAGGGGAAAATTGGAGTACTGTAGCCCATTGTTTGAACAAATGTTAAGGGACARTGAAGACTTTTTTTTTTTCCTGAGGAAAAGACATGAAATTAAAGGGAAGTTAAACAGGCAAGTTGAGTGTCAGATCTGATTCTAAGCAGAGGGAGCAGCATTAGGACAGTCTTAGTTTAGAAAATCTGGTGCATTTGAGGAACTTTAAACAAGGTTAGTGTGGCATGGACCTTGTCTGTCTTCATCCTTGTGTTAACAATCATTAGCACAGTGCAAGGCATGTTGCAGGCACTTGGTAAATTTGAATAAATGAGTAGGGAAGTGGGAGAGGGAGAGATGATGCTGGAGAGGCAGATAGCAGCCAAGATATGAGAATGAGGCCTTGTGATCTATTTATAGATTTTGGACTCTAGCTTAAAGCCATTAGGGTCATATATTTGGTTTTAAAAGATCCTTTGGTTTTTTTGGTTTTAAAAGATCTACTCTTTTTCATTGTTTTTGATGAATAGAAATAGGCTAAGGGTAGTAGATTAGATGGGAGAAGATGGTAGTTTGGAATAGGTTAGTTGTAATGGTATTAGAGAAGAGAGGTGGATTCCAAAGAAATTTAAGAAAAGCTGGTGATTGTTTAGATGTGGGAAATGAAGGGAGATGAACAGTCGAGGGTGACTCTAGTTCTGATAACACAGAAGAAATTGGGAAGAAATTTTATTTGATTTTTGAGGAAATGAGTAAAAACTGTTCAGTAGTTTGTGTGTGTGTGTGTGTGTGTGTGTGTGTGAGAGAGAGAGAGAGAGAGAGAGAGAGAGAGAGCGAGCGAGCGCACACTTTAAGACTAAGCTTTAAATATCAATTTTGGGAATTTAAACCATGGTAGTAAAGGAAATTTTAGAGAATTTGAAGGGATGCCAATATTCAAGTTGTAGGTAGAGACCAAGGAAACAGTAATCAGAGAGATGGCAGGAATAACTGGAGAATGTAGAGTAGTGGAGGCTAAGGGAAGAAAGTTCATGACAATGACAGTTGCTGTTAACTGGACCAAGAACAGGAAGGCTAAATTTTGTCCATTGAATTTCATGATATGGCATTTATTCATGATCTTGGCAAGAATAATTTCTAAATCACATGGATATAACTTCTCTTTGCTCATTATTTATTATTATTTCTTTCACTGCTAATGATCAAACACAGTGCCTCATGCATGCTAGGCAAGCACTCTACCACTGAGCTATACTCATAGGCCTGAAATAGTTCAACATTTTTTTCTTTTTTTTTTTTTAGTACTAGGGATTGAACCCAGTTCTTGTACAAGTGCTCTGCCACTGAGTTATGTCCCCCATTATTTTTCCTTAACTTTTAATACTTCTTTCCCCAATCTCATCCTCCGTTAGTAGCAGAACTTCCTATTTCACTGGGAAATAGAACAACGAAGAATGGAATTCACAAGCTCCCACCACGTTCTCCTCCCATCTAACTGCCTCTGTGCTCCGAGACTCTACTGTGTACCCTGTTGCTATGGATAAGTTGCTCCACATATTTATCAACACTTGCTTATTCAAAGAGATCTGACAGTTCTTCTCTTTTCCCAAATCATTTCTTTTTCTTCTCCACTGCATCTTATCGGCATACCAACATGCTATTTCTTCCATCATGAAAACAAACAAAAAGTTAAATAAATACACAAACAATTCAGTAAGTTAAATAGTAATAAAACTTCTCTTAAATTCATTTCTCTCTATCATTTCAGTTTTCTTTTTACAACTGAACATCTCAAAAGATGTTTCTAATTTCTAACACCTCATAGCCAGTTTTAAGGATTTCCATCTGCGTTGTTGCCAAACTAATAACCAGTTCTCGGATTTCCTCTTAGTCTGTCTGATCATCAGCATTTTATGCAATTGGTCATGGCTTCCTCCTTTAAAAACTGTCTTCTTTTGACTCCCAGATATTTACACTCTCTTTACTTTTATTGGCTACTCTTTTTCAACCTCCCATGATGGTTTTCCTTTATGAACTGAGCCTCCTTATACTGGAGCAGACCAGGGCTCAACTGATGAACCTCTTTTCTCATCACATTAACTCCATTATTAATTTTTTTGAGTTTCAGGGCTTTAAGTAAATCTTTATACTTATAAATAACCACATTTATGTCAACCTGGACTTTTTCTATGAACTCCAAAATCATTTGCCTAGTATTTCAAATTTCCCTTGAGWTTTAAGAGGCATCTTAAACTTTGAAATGTCCCAAACTGATTTACTGATTGTTCTCCTTCATACCTCCTCCTATCAGAGTCTTTTATATTTTGGTTGATGGTAACTGTGTCATTCTTGCCATACAGATCAGAAACTTTGAAGATAGCTTTTATTATCTTATTTCCTATCCAGTCTACAGGGAATTTCTGTTAACCTCTACCTTTAAAAGTTCTCAAATCTGACCACCTTTTATCACCTCCACTGATACCCTATCAGTTGAAACCACCATGATCCTTTGCCCAAGAGTGTTCTGATTAAAAGGTAAGTTAGAGCTGGGTGTATTTTGTATTACTAGCGACTTGGGAAGTTGAAGGAACAGTATTGTAAGTTGCGGACCATCTTTGACAACTTGATGAGACCCTCCCTGTCTCAAAAATTTTTAAAAAGGGCTGTGGATATAGCTCAGTTGTAAAGTAGCCCTGGGTTTAATCCCCAGTACTAAAAAGAAAGAAAGAAAGAAAAAGAAAAAAAGTAAGATGTCACTGTTAAAAATGTTACTGTTTTGCTCAAGTATTTGCTAAAATATTCCAGTGCTTTACTTTTCACTCAGTATATGAGCTAAAATCTGTTCATTTGACTTGTAAGGTCTTATGTAATCTCTCTTTCATTACGTCTCAGATTTAAATCTGCTCTTCCTCTTGGTCATAGCTGTATTTGTCTTCTCGTTATTCTTCAATTACTCCATGTTCACTTTTACTTTATTTTTATAATGACTAATATGACTGGGACCCCCACCCTATGAGACTTACTCATATATATTGTTCTTTCACCTTATTTGGGTATTAACTTCAGTGTCATCTTTTCAGAAAGAAGTTATTGGCCATCCAAGAAAACTTTAAAACTATCCCTTTCTCCCTGCAACCTACTTGTTTGTGTTATTTTCCTTCATTGTGTTCATTACCATTTAACTTACTGGATTTGAACTTATTATTTTACTTCATTTTGTCTCTTTTTTTTTTTTTTAAAGAGAGAGTGAGAGAGGAGAGAGAGAGAGAGAGAGAGAGAGAGAGAGA